ATCTACAGTCTTGCAAAATGTTAAGGTATAAATCTAGTTTACCGGGCATCCTTTTTTTATTATTAAATCGATAGTACGTTTAATGACAACTTTAGACCTATTGACTAATACTTAAAACCCAAACTTAATTTAATATTTTAACTTTTAGTTTTATCTACAATTTTTTTTACTGTCTAGCATATAATAAATAGGAATATCATACCTATCATTTATAAATTCTACTAACATCGTTCTATGGTATTTACTTGTTACAGTAAAGGTACGTACAGTTTACTATGAGGCGTTTCTGTATGTATTCCGTTTTAAACAAACCTAAACAAATACAATATTGGACAAAAGCGTCGAGGCCAATGTGTGCTATCCATTTTCCCACTTTATCGTTAAATAACACGGTGTTGTAGAAAACATTTGTTAGTTTATTTTTGGAAAGTTTTCGTATTCGTGACTTGACGTGTATGTAAATTGGTCATAACTTGATCAGTTAAACAGTTGGGCGGTTCAACAGTCAGACTTGTACAGTGGAAGTCATTCAAAGTACATTAATTCCGATAGTTTTGGATTATTAATTTTGATATTTCTACACGGAAAGACAGTGTGTATTTTAATTTCGAAAACCTAAAAGTTCAACATGCCTACCAATTCATGAATTGTCATTTCGCTGATCTATTGATGACGTTATGGGATAATAAAATATCGATTGGAAAACAGTGTTTAGACATGGAGCGTTCTGCCGAAAAAGTCGACTGTGCTGAATGGTTTATGTTAGAAATCAGAAAGAGCGATCCGGTGATTGTGCGCATGTAAGGTCCAAGGGTAGTTTTAGCATCTAGGAAGTATACATACTTACTTACTTACTAGATTAATTTATAAAAAAAAACAACATAACTTGGGTCCTCGCACCAATACCTTAAATGCTAGTAGCTCGAGAAGTAATTATCTAATGGTTTTCTACCGATTCATCACTTTTTCTGCGGTTGACTATTTTATTTTACAAGTCTTTCTTTAAACTTATCCCTTAAACGATATTTTACCATAAATATTATAATTAATTTTGATAGTTATAAATAACATTTGTTACATATAGGTATATAAAATGTACCGATCAAAGTAGAGTTTCTTGCAATATAAATAGTATAACTGATGAATTTGATAGTGTGAAAAGTCAATGGACTTAGTATTAAGTATCTCATGATATAATTTTTCTCATTATATCCCTTTTTAGCGTAGTTGCGAAAAGAATAACAAACGCCAGAAGCAAACAGACCGCAGATTATTCACATTAAGTCATGTATTTCTGAGTTCAATGTACCAGTCGAGGTCATGACACTTTAACATTTATTCAAAATAAAAGTCAAATCGACTTTGAAAAATGTTCTCGTTTAATTCAACCGAAGAAATTAGAATATTCTGAATACAATTATTTTAAAATGAAATAAAAACATGTCTACATAAGGGGATGTAAACATGTTTTTATGGAAATAAGGGGGTTTCCATTCACATCCCAAAATTGTTTTTATTAGCACTTAATTTTTGGACATTTTTAAAATAACTAATTAGGGACTTGAGAAGAAATGAGTGTAGGCGCATTGCGAATTACTATTAATTATTGTGCAGATATTTTGTAATATTATCGTACAAACTCCTTATCAATCACACGATTTAAACGATAACTGGCTATAATATTATCACAGATTAGATCATTTTTTTTTTTTTTTATCTAATCTGTGATATTATTATGACATTTTATGCTCACGCTGTGATTCATTTTGAACAATGCGACGTCATAGTTTTTGTTTACATGTCGAGTGAGCCATCTGTTTCCATGAAGTCTGTGCTATACTTGAATTCCAAGCACAGTTGTTTATTCGGTTGTTTAAATATCGTTAAATCGGCCATTCGGAAATTCGGTAGGTAGAACTTAGAGGCGTGCGACCTATTTTTTTTTTTTGTTACAAAATACTCGAAGTGGGTCTTGTGACGACGGGCACCATGTGAGGTGGTGGTGGGCTTTAAATTAAAAATTCGCTCCGAGGGTCGCGCGTCGCGTAGTGAGTACTTTAGGGGGCTGATCGGGGGCGAATGGGAAATATGGAAAAGGTCCGTTTGGAGCCGCAGTTATTGAATCGTGAAAGTTGCGTTTTACAATTTGCATACTTCCGGTGCCTACCCCGGCACGTCCGGCGCCGTTTACCGTCACATCAATGCCGGTTGTTGACTAAAAAGACAACGAGCACTGTCACGGGCACGGCCACCGCCACCGTGGTCGTCGTCGAACTGTCAACGGTTGCTAAACCGTTAATCGATCATCATTAAGAAGAAGGGTGTTCAAAGAACGTTTTCACGCAACCGACTTCGATATCAGCGATTACCCCCGGGGGGAAGGCACGGGGCAAAAAAAAATACCGGGCACGAGACCCGGGGGCGGTACACGGCCGACCGAACGAGAGATAACTGCGTGACGTCCGTCCAGAAATCGCAGTTTAAATGATCGAAGCCGAATAAAATAACGATCGCCACCCTATGGCGTCGCCTGCACCGCCGTAGCCCGTATAGAGTGCCATAATAATAACATAAAGAACAAAAAGAACCAGAAGACAATCGAAAAAGCGTACACACGGTTCCGCGTATAGTTGGCGCCGTAGTGTCATTGCGCAGGGTATACGAACGAAAAGTTTTAGTAGAGTTAAACCTAAGCGCTGACCGTATTAAAATATTTAAATATTCACTCTGTGTATATATATATAAATGATATCCCATAGAATTCGTTGAATTATTTACTAAACGCAGTTCAAATAGAAACGTACGGTCGCTAACTAAAGACCGAACATTGTAAACCTTCCGTGCATAATTTATTAACCGACTAGTTTTTTCCAGTAGCATAACATATAATATTGTAGATTCAACGGGTAAAAACTACACCCTTCTTAAAGGGATTGAAACCGGGCGGAGTTTAATGAGTTTTATAATATAGGCAATATTTAAGAAAACGGTAGTTTTAATCAATTTTGACCCTATCAATTTATTTTCACGTTAGTTTGTATAAGCTTCAGAATATTTAAGTTTTAACGTATACAATTTAAGTCATTTTGTTGGTACAAGAAACCAATTCACATCTGAGAACCTGACACAATTGTCAATTACGCATATTTAGGGTGGTCCGATTTCAATTTTGGGTTTACATGTTTAGTCCTTAGCTTGCAACCGTACGTTTCTATTTGAACTCTGCGAATACATATTGATTTTTATTAAACATAAATTTAATAAAAATAATTTAATGGTAAAAAAAAAAAATAATTTCATACCATAAAGTCTGCTTGCTGTTTATTCATTCGTATATACCTGTATTTGCTAAACGAATAAATTCCGTTTTCACGTCAAAAACATGTAAATTTTGAGTTTGTCTTATTATACATTCTACATGAGAATTTATGTAGATCCACAGTAATTTCCCACAGAAACTATAGTTTTAATAAAGTGTTTATGTATTATGCATATGATATGCATAATGCATTTCATTGTTTCCAATTCATATTTTATGTTTCCATTAAAAAAATCTCGAGCGAGTATAAATTTACAAAAACATGAAATTAATGCAATAAGTAATCTAATAAAGTAATATCAATAAAAAGTTATTTTTGTAGTAAAACTTGATGCATGTATTTGCATGAGTGTGTTTATGTATTGTTTTTGTTTTGACCTTCGAAAAATAATGTTTAATTTCATATCGTGTCGTTTTCTAGAAAGCACAATGAAATATGGTTACATGGTATGAGAATTGAGTAGTTGTATCGTTGGGAAGACGGCGTTAAGCATTTTACCTTACTTAATTTGCGCACTATTAATGCAACGGCCTATGAAATTATTAGGGTAACTCTTGGAGTGTACGTACAAAATATACAGCTTAATTTTATATCAGAGCCTCGTGACCTCAGGGTTGTTTTGTGTTGAATAAATGATTTTTTGGTAACTTCTTACAATGTATACATATATTAGGTAGTAATTATTGTTAATAAGTTTTTAAGTAAGCAAAGTTAACAAAAAAAAATAATTTTTTACACCCACCGGGTGTTTCATTTAATGATAGAGAAAAATATACTTTAAAATAATACGTTAGAGTTTTTTAAATTGTCCATATAAATTAGACACAATGCGACATTACTTTAAACAAATTATACTAAAAAAACCTTCTTAAAGTGTGAATTGACAATAATAAAAAGTTGTGCAAAATGCAAAATTGAAAACTCTGTAAAAAAAAAAAAAAAAAAACAAAAGTAATCATAATGTTGTCGGAAACTTTTATTATTTATAAACTTTATTTAAAAGAAATAATGTAGTTTCGGATGCATAAACTTTTAGCTCCTTTTAGAAAGGGAATAGAAAACGTCAAGCTAAATGTAAGATATAACTAATTTCAATGAAAACCAAATGCGACCTGAAAGTAGAGTTTATGCGGGCTAGGGAGTTTGTGAAACTCATTAAAGACTTCTAAAACTTAATAATTTCAGGAAATCTAGACCAATAGAACTACTGAATGTTGCCCTACTTAACTAAATCACATTACGCTTAAGTAGCGCGATACTACATTGTGTTAGTGACGCAAGAACAATTTATTTCATTTTAAATTTGTTGTACCCGTTGAAATCGTCGGTTTGGACTTTAATTTCTCAGTCTCTATAACGTGTACAGTTAATTTGTACGTAAAACTATACTTTTGTAGATCCTTTGTCGACATTTAAACATTATTTTTTCTTGAAAACCGAGACTCGGTCTAGTCACAAACATTCTTTTCATATTTAACAACAATATAACTTTTCCAAGGGCACGCCATAGTGTAGTATGATCCGTAAGCCGTAATCGTTTGCCGAGACAGTCGCTTAGCAGAAAATCCCCCAATAGATTGGCGGTGAAATTAAAAAAAAAAAATAAATAAAGACCCCTTCTTTTTTTATCGGAAACTATCGAACGCTGACCGTGTATGATAATATATTTGTTTTACATACCAGTATAAGGTTGTGCGGTCCAATTAGGTATCCTCGGTTCCGGCCGTTTTCCGGCGGCGGTACACAACGACGACAGAGCGCACGGTTTGCTTATTACTATTTAGTTTTTTTTTTGTTTTTTTAATTTATCGAAAGCGACAAAAAGAAAAAGAAAAAATAAACACCGGCGAACTCTACTCAACGACGACGGCGGGATTTAAAACGGATTTTTTTCACCGACATTTTTGCGCGCACCACTCGCACGTTTGCCGCGGTAAAACGATTGTTTCACAGATTCTAATGTACAATATAATATTATGTATAAATTATGTGTCCAATTAATCCAATACACACGCACGCGCGCGCAACGGTATTGCGGTTTTGTGGCGATACGGCGGCTTACGATGTTTGAGATTTAATTTTCTCCCTGGGTGTATTTTTTAAAAATTTTTTTTTTTTTTTTTTAGTATTCGATTTTCGAAAATTTCAAACAACAACAGTGACCGTACGGCGGGGACGGCACACGACGGCAACTCGGAACGGACGCCGGCGAGCTGCTGAGGGTGGAGGCCGCCGAGGATAGCGTCGTCGTCGTCGTCGTCGTTGTGGTCGTGGAGCCGGAGGAGATTGGGCGCCGGCGCCGATCGCTCAGCAATTATTATCGGCTACTTAAAAGTGCCCCGGATTGCTATTATATTATGTTTTAACGCGCAGGATGATATTTCGTTTTAATTTGATTTTTTTTTTTTTGCATTACCTAACTCTTACAACGAAAAAGCGCAGCCGATTCCCCATCTTTTCTAGATAATCTTTACCCTATAAAGGGCACGAGTCCAGGCCCCTGCAGCTATCGACGACGCACGGCGAGAGGAAAACATTGCGACAACAACGAATTGGATGGTAAAATAATATTGTAAAAAATTATTACAATAATAAACTAGTAGAGTAAGAAAAACGCTTTTCCCTAGAATATAGACGTAGAGACTTTTGATTGATCTGCATCGAAGCGGCGTTTGTTTGATAGTGATCTCATCACTTTTAGTTTTAATAATTCCTGTGGACCTGAGACCGATCTCCTTAAAAAAATCCAAATAAAGCCAATCACTTATTTAGTTATTTAGGCATGAAATCTCATGTATCCTAAAAGATACTGTGCTTCGTACACCAAAATTATTGTTTGTATCCAAAAAGATACATCACGGTAAATAAAATACCTATTTTTTAATTGCAGGTGCATTTTTGACTTATTTTCTTTTTAAGAAATTTCCTAAAAATAGTTTTTTTTCAATTAATACAAATAAACATACTTATATACATAGTCCAAAGAATTATACCTAATCTACGTAAATCATAAAATACTATTTATAATTATTTTTTTGTTTTTTTATCATAATAGGTCTATGAGGTCGTGTATCTTTAAAAATACACGCTATAGTTAAAAAACTGTTCGTTAAAAAAACATCAAAAATGAATTCTACGGGTCTTAATTTGTAAAAAAAAAAACATGGTTTGGAATTTCATTTGAATTTTTTATTTCTGCCAAGCTTAGGGTTAAAAATATAAACGGGCTAAGAGCAAATCCGATTATTATCATAATTCTATAATCGGATTTGTGCAAAATTTAAAAATGTGTCGGATAATAAAAATTGATACTTTTACGAATAATGAAAACGAATATTTGATAGTATGTTATACGTTAACCACACATCATTTGTAACTTAATAAATCAAAGGTAATCAATCAAAATATAATGAAATACAAAAATATCTCAAATATTAATAGATAAAATCATCCAAGCTAATTTAACATTAATTCATGAAAACTGATAGTAAATAAAAAAATGTATCCTAAATAGCTTTTATATTTAAACATTGATTTTATTTTTAAACAATCGAAAATATATTAAATAAAATAAAACGAATAAGAAAAAAATATATGCGTAAATAAATTGTGTTGACACGCAATAAATAACAAATAGTTTGAAACAAATATCTTGTCATAAATAATGAAATAATAAATAATTTAATAAAAATTGTTTTTTTTTTATGTATCGTTATGTAGCTAAGCAATTATTCGTAACTCTGGTTAAAATATTATTGGGTATGTAAACACTGCTGATAACATAAGATAACTACATGGCATTTTTAAATTAAATTTCTTACTTTAATGGTGTTCATCGAAGTGTTATCAATTATTATCATCATACCATTATTCTAAAACATCTTTTACTTTTTCAGAGAAGGTATTTTGTTTAAGGTATTATGTATACATAAAAAAAAAACGACAAATATAATGAATGTGTTTTTCAAAACATTTTAATTTAAATTGTTTAATTTAAAAAAAAACCATTCACATTATTTTAACTCGTTAGTTAATTTTATTTGTATGTATTTCCCAAAGTTCATTGTAATTTTATAATCTGGTGCCTGCAGTTCTCAAACTCAATCATTTGTTTGTTTAAATTATATTTTATTTAATGCATAAGAGTAATTTTAAAGGTAGAATTAAAAAGTATATTATATGGAATGCTAAAAAAATGAAGCTAAAACTTTGCCGAATAAAAATAGAAACTGGCATGTAATGGGATGGAGGGGGGGGGACTTACATAATATGAACAACCTAAAAAAAATCATTACAACTGTATTAGCAAAACTTATCGATTAATATGTTTTGACTGAATATGTTATAAATTTAAAAAAAAACGGTAAAATCCAATAGAAAACTTTCGGTACAATGTAATAACGTTCAATCATGCACTTTTAAAATATAAAGTGAGTTTGAAAAATATTTTTAAACGGTCACAAATATAAGGATTCGTATAAAATATTCAAGCCAACTCAAATACTTTTCAGAAAAATATTTTTTAGGTTTCTTTCGACGTGTATTATAATGTCAGTTATTAATTTATACGCTATTCTATTATTGACATTATTATATATTTTTTTAAATTATTGTTGTTATTATTATTATTATTTACGTTTTTAGCTACAATACGAAGCTGAAAAGTTTGGTGTTATGAAATACAGTTTTTTTTTTTTTTTAGTTATAAACCTTAATTTTAAAAACTAATTATAACGAGAATATGTATATTATATTCGCTATATCTTTATTTAAATATTATTGTCTCTGATATGAAATCTATGTAAAAAAAAAAACATTACTTTTACATTTTTCGAGTTAAAAAAATTAAGTTGTATATTATGGTATAATTCGTTTACACGCAGTTAAAAATAAAATATCAAATAATGCACGGTAACAATGAATGGAATACATTTGAAAAATATTTTGCTATTTATAATGCAATAGTAACATTATTAGTAATAGCATCTCATTTGTTCATGAGACCATTTTACTTAATTTGTTCACACTATCCATTTGGTGTACTGATATACACTACAGGCATGTTTAGTTCAAAAACATGCAAATATATATGTTTTACTACGTTATTATAATTAATGGTTAGCCGAGAAGATGCTAGTTTTACAATCTCTTAGAATAACCATTAAAACAGACACATGTTTTTTTTTTTTATACGGCATGCTATAACTTACTGAAAAATATTCGAATAGCTTCCAAATATGCGTGTTTCTCGTGTTTAGATAGCCAAACACAAACAAAACAACATTAACCCTTTGCCCTAGAATTTTACTTTTGGGTAAAAGGGCTTGATTGATTCTTGGACTTTATAACTTTGCACCTAACAATCTGAAAATGACATTTCATGATTTTCCTAGCATTCGAATGTTCAGTACACGGCTCTATAGAAAGCAATTCGATTTTCCACCTACAGTGCAAGGAAATAAATTGCAAACTGCAGAAAACCCACAATACCACATACTATATTGCAAAAGGGAAAGCACCTATACACAATATTATCAGACGCTTTTCTAAATTATTCATGATTTGTAAAAGCGTTGAAATGTTTGATTCGTAAACGTTTTACTTTAATACGCTGCTGCATATGCCATACGAATATTACAATATCATAAAATGTAAAAAAAAAAAATACAAAAAATACAAGTACACTAATAGCTACGAATGACACTTCCCTAATGGGTTGGTATCTAAAAAAATAACTGTTATCAAGTCATAAAATATTCATGAGTATAATATGAATATTGATTATGATAAGAAAAAACTGTGAATAATATTTATATTTACTATCAAATTAAAAACCTATTATTTAACGAATTTAATTTTTAACGATTAAGTGTATACTTACTTTTCTTGTGTTAAAAGTAATTTTTTATATATTTAACAAATATTTACTGTTGCATACATTTGTCAAATAACAAATATTTTGTGAGAGTTTAAATTGTTCCTAGAAATACATATAATAATATAAACATCGAAACGAATAGGCAAATAACACAATGGAGAAAACCCGGATAATGGATGTTTAGAAAAGAAACTATATACCCAATAAACACAATAAAGAAAGCGATCAATGGTTTTCATGAAAAATCGCTACTTTGTGATAATTCGTCATATGCTCCATTACAAGTTCTTGGTTTTTCTTAGCCAAACATATTAATTTTGCGTGACTTACCTCAAAGTTCATTAACGCACACCTATATTGTTATTCAAATTCGGTTTCTTTTTGAAAACTGAAAACCATAATTTTATTCAACAATTTTTGTTTTTTTTTTTTTATATTAATACTATAAAAATTTAAATAATTGCGCACTTTGTGATTTTACTCGTAATTAGTTATTCATAGAAAAAACCGTGAAATATTTTTTGCAATCAATTATTATTTACCTCGACCGTTTAAAGTGTTTTCTAGTTGAACGATATCTAAAATTGTACTGTACTTTTAGTTTGTTTTTTTTTTTGCAGGTCTGTCTACCGCGACAACTTTTGTTTTACGGTACAAAAAACTAGGATTGTTCAGCAGGATAACAAATATATAGAGAGCGGGAATAGCGCGAAATTTCAGACAGAATTATTACGAATGTGTTTTCGGAATAAGAAGATAACTTAATCTTATGTGGAGCATATGTTCCAAGGTGCTGACATATATATTATATAGACCCCGAAGATTCATTATGAACAGTTCAAGTGCCCCGGAGGGATACAATTCATTCATCAACACACATTGACGTCGTGTACGGTGGCGGCAGTTGTGTTAAAATATTAGTTCAGTAAACGTTTCCCTGAAACGTTCTGTACTAACGTGATTTGTTCCGTTCCAATGACGCACTCGATAAATGTATTTCAGAGAGAACAAAACAATCTTTTGTCTACATTTTTATTTATTTTTTTTTTTTTATTAGCCATCTAAAAGTTCAATTCGATATCAAAAAAAAAAAAGCACACGACGAAATAACGAGTCGCGTATTGATTATCTCTATTTTATATTTTTACTTTTTACTTTTTATTGCCCAAAAGGCGAGACCTTATAATTTGAATACAAAATATATTCCGTTTTGTGTACCTAAAGCTATAAACGTCGTTTCGTCGTTCGAGTAATGAATATGACATGTTTAACTGGAACTCAAACATTGTTGAAGAAATAGATCCCGATTTTTCTCTAAAA